TTTGCGGAAGTTGAGAAAGGCTTATAGAAGTGCCATTGAAGCCAGGCTGCTATAACAAAAACACCATAGATTTGGGTGTTTTAAGCAATGTTTATTTCTCATGGTTCTGAAGTCTGAGAAGTTCAGGATCAAGGTGCCAGCAGATTCAGTGTTTGATGACAGCTCTCCTTCTGATTCATAAATAGCTATTTTCTTGCTATGTTCTCATGTGGCAGAAAAGTGGGGAGGGAGCTCTCTGAGTCCTCCTTTATAAGGACACTAAAACCACTCCTAAGGGTTCTAGTCTCAAAACCTCCCAATCACCTCCCAAGGCTGAACTATCGCATTGGAGATGAGGATCTCAACGTATGAGATTATTGGACATATACAAACATTGAGTCTATGACTGACAGGGACTTGGATGGCATTCTGATTTTAGATGGACAGGGAGGAGAGGGAAAGGTACCTTAAGTAAGAGAAACAATGTAAGACGGAACCGTCCAGTGGAAGTGGGAAATGTAGACTTGACTTCAATAAAGGTTTTGTATTGGCACTGGACATCTCCTTTTAGCAGGTGGGGCAAAGCTATGGGAGAACATGGAGGCTTCAAGGAAAAAGTTAGAGTGGATTCTTTGATATAGACCACTGGGAGTCATTGCAGGTTCTTGAGCAGAGGTGTGGCATGATATATGAGAGAAAGCAGTTAGTTGCTCTTGTGCCTTGAAAGGTAATGATAATGAATTTATTGACTAAAGATTTTTCTTTGTAGGTTCCAGTTCCTTCCTCGTTTGCTATTTACTGCTCATGTCTGCTGCAGCATGGCATGAATGGATTCTCACATCCATGTCTCTTGTATTTCCACTTCCAATGGCTGAATGAGGGCTGAACTCAGGGTAGTGTGGAGCATTCACTTAGAACCCCGGACCACCTGGTTCTGGAGGACCCAGGAGAGGAACAGGAAAGCAGGAACCTTGTAGCCCCAGGCCCCCTGCTTCCATTGCAATGGCAGCAGTAAAGTTTCACTAACATACATGATGCTGCCTCTGCCTGCTGGGGCTGCATGGAAACCATGCCGAGCACCGTAAGCTGGACCTGTGAAGGTACCCTGGTGGGGGCCATTGTGATCAGATCCCCCAAAAAGCAAGTTTTAGTCACATCTGTCCATGGGATGTGCTATTCCTGAACATTAAAAAAAAAAATTGTTTTGAATTTTGAGACGAGGTCTAGTTCCCCACACTGTTCTTGAACTTTTGATCCTCCTGCCTCTGCCTCTGGAGTAGGTGTAGGTACAGGGGTGCACCACGATGCCTGGCTCCTAGGGTGCATTTTATGCCCTGAGTATTCATTATGTTCCAACTTCAAGCCACTCGACTGTTTTGTGTGGTCTGACTTAAGACATGTTTGAAACCAAATTCCTTCTGTGTGTAACATCCTCTCCTTTAGCTCTATATACCAAGACTGCTATGTTTCCCTACACTGCAACTTTTTTTTTTTTAAAGGGAGACTATGAGGGAGAGGGAAGCCAGCATTTTAATGTTGGGATATTTCCAAACCCATTCATTAATTTTGTACAAGTAAAATGCATCTAACCTGATGGAATATTTATAAAAAGTGGAAGCTCACTGTCAATTAAATCACATTTATTTAATCTAGTATTAGACTGCCTTTTTTTTTTTAACCAGATGGTAAACATTAGCAGTAATAGTGAACAAACATCCAGGCTCCCAGAGGTCATTTTTAACCACCATTAACAATCTGGTTTTCACGGATTAGTAATATACAAAAGGCAACCGTCCAGTAAAAGATGCACACAAGGCAGTCGAAGCGGCTTCTGTGCTCCTTGTTTACCTACCATCTAACTATTTAAAAAATGCTTTGTAAGGGAAACATTTAAATCTTCTCAGCTCAAAAACTTTCAGTAAAATATCTGAAATAGACACTGATATCAACAAAACCTCCTCTAAGCTGATGGAAAGCAAAGCTTGTTATTAATGTCACCAGCAGATTTTCCTGTGGTTCATGTTTCCATTTATTAGCTATCTGTTTAGTGGTTTCATACTCATGTAAAACTTGACTAATTGTGAAGTGGAAAAGACAGGCATTTTTGCAAATCATATTTTAATTGTTAAACTGAATTATCAAAATGAAGTGTAATATAAAATAAACAGTCCACAAAATATACTAAGGAGTCAAAAAAATCCCATCCCTCATGTGATGAGAACATGACTTCTAGAATTGCCTTTTCAGGAACAAATGATCTCATCTACGTCATGTTTTGAGTGATCAAGGAAGTTGTAGAATGATATAGCCTCATTGTATCCTATAGATAAGTGCAAAGATATGTGTGGCCTGGTTCTTCTCTCATTCAGATTTAATATTGTATACGAGTGTGAGACTTCTACATGCTCAACTGGCTGACTGAGACTAAATAGGCAACACTGCATATAATCTATATTCATTTTCATTTCAAAATACCATTATTCTTTCTTTACATATAAGTGATTTGTCTCAACCTTCATTTTGTTCTTCTTTTAGATAATAGTATTATTAGGAATTATATCTAGGTCTATATTTAAACTATTTCACAGGTATTTCCTTGTTACTTTCTCATTATGTGAAGAAAACCAAGATTTCAAGGTTAAGAGTAAGCATTAGCACCTAGGCCTATAGAGGTCACATCCAAGATGAGTGGGAATGAGGTTGTGTGGAAGGGACTAGCTAGTAGAGAAAATGCCTGCCATTAAAGAACTTAAGAATGCCAAGGATATTATTAAGCTCCATCCCTAACCATGCATGTGTTCTGAAATACTCACATACACACAGGCACAGATATTTGCAAACACAAGAGCATGCTTAGCATGCACACACTCCTGAAAATCACCAAGTGGAGTGCAGAAATGCCATTTATAGTATCATGTTGAAGATTTTCCTGTTAGACCATGATACCCAAGTATAAGTTGTTGCTTTGGGGAGAAATTCTGTTTCTTTTTTCATAGAAAAAGTTACCTTGGCAATGAAATTTTCTAGTATTCCTACAAGTGCCTGGGGCCATTACAGTTTGTTTCTTTTTTTCCGGGGGAGCAGGATACAGGGGATTGAACTCAGGAGCACTCAACCACTGAGCCACATCCCCAGCCCTATTTTGTATTTTATTTAGACACAGGGTCTCACTGAGTTGCTAACGCCTCACCATTGCTGAGGCTTGAACTCACAATCCTCCTGTCTCAGTCTCCTGAGCTGCTGGGATTATAGGTGTGTGCCATCATTTTGTTTCTTGCTGAGGGAAATGATAAATAGGAGAGAATTGATACAATGAATTCTTGCTTATGCCATAATTTAGAATTTATGACCTCCTGGATTCTTTTCAATAACAACTGAAGATACTTTATTGAAGGGTTATTGTGTCTCCAGGACTATGTTAAGCACCAGCCATGCAGAAAAGACAGAGCCCCTTTCTCCAAGTGGCACATGGCCTAGTAGGAGAGGAAGAAGAATAGGCAGACAGGACCACAACCTGTGCAAGATGCTCTCAGGACACAGAGGCGGGATCTAGCCTCTTGGAGCTGGGGAAGGGAATCCATAAAACCTTTTCAGGGCACTCCTCCTCATACCAGGGATTGAACCCAGGGGTGCTCTACCATTGAGCTACATCCCAATCCTTTTTGTTTTTTATTTTGAGGCAGGGTTTCACTAAGCTTCCCAGAGAGTGACCTTGATTTTGCAATCCTCCTGCCTTGGCCTTCCAAGTCACTGGGATTACAGCCATGGGCCATCATACCCAGTGTCAGAGTGCCTTTATCTGTTCTACCACACCTCTCTAGACAAGGGTAGAGAGCTTAATTACATTACTTGGATATTGCAGAAATCAGTTTGAAGTTTGAAGATACAATTATCTGCTTAGTTGAATGATTGAATTTCTTTGGTTTATTTAGATTTTCTGGATTATGTAGTAAAGCTAAACAATTTTTTAAAAGTCCTATCTACAGTAAATTTTTTTTCCGGGAGCGGGATACAGAGGATTGAACTCAGGAGCCCTCAACCCCGGAAAAAAATTTACTGTAGATAGGACTTTTAAAAAATTGTTTAGCTTTCTATTACTCTACCCAGCACAAGAAAAATAAGTAAGAATAACAATTTAACATTTACCCACAACATAGTTGGGGTTTGTTGTTTGTTTGTTTGTTTGGTGCTGGGGATTGAACCCAGGGCCTTGGGCATGCTAGGCATGTACTCTACCGTGGAGTTACACCCCAAGGTCCCACAGTATAATTTTTATTGGGGGCTGGGGATGTGGCTCAAGCGGTAGTGCGCTCGCCTGGTATGCGTGCGGCCCGGGTTCGATCCTCAGCACCACATACCAACAAAGATGTTGTGTCCGCCGAGAACTAAAAAATAAATATTAAAAAATTCTCTCTCTCTCCTCTCTCATTCTCTCTTTAAAAAAAAAATTTTATTGGTCCAAAATGAGTAGCTAAAAGACTATCCTCAAGCAAATCCGTGCTAATGAACAACTCAAGTCTTTCCCCCACTTCTTTTTCACTGCCCCACATTTTAGGGACCTGAGAAGTCTAGGAGGCTTTTCCCTCTGTATGGTCCTGAGGGCCTCCTAATTGAAATCAGGCTACTTCACTCTTCACTTCAGGGAGGAGAGCAGCTCTGATCAGAAATTTCTGCCAGAAATCCGAACTTGCCCAGCCGGCTCTTTTGCCCATTCCAGCAATGACTTGTGTTGTAAAGGATGGAAGTCGTGGGGAACCTGGAGAAGGGTGGAGTCCAGGATTCTGCTTTCACCGGAGCTGCTGAGCACAGGCCAGGCAGTTCCGCCCTCCTTTTCTGTAGCTCCCTCCAAGGTTCAGGAGAATCGTACCTGAGCAAATGAAAACCACACTTGGGTCTGAGCAGTTCTAATTTCAGGTTATTATTAAATAAACTCTTTTGTAGATATTCAAAGAAAATGCAAAGAAAGACTTTCAGAAAATAGCCTACACAAAACTAATAATATTTTTCTCCTTTTTTAAAAGGTGAACATACACAAGAAACCAGTTCACCTCATTCACTCAAAAAGGATGTAGAAAATATGGGGAAAGGTAAAGAAAAGTTTTCATCCTGTAGAACTTCTCTTAGCTTTAAAAGACTATGGAGATAATAAGAGGATATTTTTGTTCTACACCATATTTTAAGCTTGACAAGCAACATATGAATAATATATGGACCATTGGGTGGATATAATTGAGATTAATGCATACATATCAATCAATACATGACACTGTAATACAATACTTTAAAATAATATATTACATTGATTTATATTCATGGATTTCTGCACAAAATCTATCCTATGTCTATGCAACACTTTTTAAACTGGTAAAATATTTTGTCTTATAATAATAAATTGCCATATATAACAGTTCTCTAGAGAGTTATTTATAAAGATTAGTAAAATGACTCTTCTTTTTTTCCCTATTAGAAGAACTTCAGAAGGTTTTATTTGAACAAATAGATTTACGGAGACGACTGGAACAAGAATTCCAAGTGTTAAAAGGAAATACATCTTTCCCAGTATTCAGTAAGAAATCACTTTTATTTCATTGAATTTGTGATATTTGCTGACATTTCTATTATTAGCCTTAAGAATGTGATTTTAAGTATTAAGGGATTAAATTCAATCCCAGACAGACTTTCCATGGTCTAAATATTCATAAATTATAGTCTTTTATTTATGCTTTCAATTGGCTCACAGATAAGATTCCTTACAAAAACCTTTTTGTATTTATGTATTGATATGTGTATGTGTGTGTATGTATAGTGTCTATTTAAAAATACGTATATAGACATGTAATTAAAATGTAAATATATTCATATATTCAGATTGTATGTTTTTAAACAAAATAATTACAAGTATTTATTATTATCTAAGATAGATATGAAAAGCAAAAGAACTCTTATTCTTAAATATCTCTGGATGGATACCTGGTGCTTGCAATATATATAAATAGGAAAATTTAAACTTTAGCAATTTAATGCACATGAATCTTTTGTTACAGTAGTACCTTCTTATCTTTGGGGATACATTTGAAGATTCCCATTAAATGCATGAAACTGCCTTTGGGACCTACATATACTGATTCTTCCTAAACATATATACCTATGATAAAATGTAATTTACAAAGGGATTAACAACAACAATAATAAAATAGAAAAATAACAACCATATAGTATAGTGAAAGCTATATAAAATTTATGAATTGCTTATTTCCGTAATTTTTCATTTAATACTTTTGGACTATGGTTGACCTTGGGTATCTGAATTAAGAGGGGACTACTGTAATTAAAACTGATATAACTAGATGAAAATGGATATAACTTTAGACGTTTTGCATTCTCAATTAGCAATGAATGTTAAAACTCCATTCCAAATGTGGGGCAGGAGACATTGTAGCCTAAAAACTATCATTCTGCTCCTAGAGTCTTGGAATTTTGGAAATATTTTATAGAAGGTATCCAAAGTTCTAAAATTCACCTGCCCCGAGCTGGGTCACATGGGACAAATGCATCCAAGTAGTGTTTTTCAAGATTTCTGGAGTTTCATTTAGTCAGATTCACCTCTTCCGAGAAAGTGGGAAAGCAAACAATATGTACACTTTTTAAAAATTATATAAATTTAAAATTAACTTTTTCTGAGACACTTCTTTAGAATATCAACAGGACCCTCGCTGTTAATCTTGGCATCACAAAATTCGAGTTGATAGTTCTGTGCCAGAGCCACAGACCAGCATCCAGCATCTGTAAGATTTTGTAGTAACTGTGACCATTTTGATCGTGTGAACTTGAAGGTCTGTGCTCACCAAAGCTTCCCAGGTGCCATAGTCAACACAAATGAAAGTGGACGCCAGGAGCATTTGTGAATAGCACCAGGTTCTGGCAACCTGTCAAACTGAGTTTCAATAATACTTAGTGGGAACTCAACACGAGGAGGTAGCTGAGTGTTGGAGGAGAGCTCTGACCACAGGAGCAGGAGGGTCTGCCAAGTTTATGATCTCTTTGGAACTCCAAGACAGGTTTGGGGCTCCAGGGCTTCAGTGTTTTAAAGCCAGAGAATTCCTCTGAGCCTCAGAATAAAATCGAAGGCAGGAGAACAGCCAATAACTTTGGGTAGTATATTTAGGAACATCATGACATTTGTAGCTTCAAGAAAAGAAAAATATCAAAAATATCTTTGAAGCCTTATAAAAAAAAACAGGTGCTTGGACAGGATTCAGAATTCTCTACCTTCTAAAGCTATATCTTTATTTTATTTTTATGTGGTCCTAAGGATTGAACCCAGTGCTTCATGCATGCTAGATGAGCACTCTACCCCAGCCCCCTAAAGCTATATCTTAAGAAAGATTGTATCTTACAGTTCTTTGCAGCAAGGAGCAGACGGCAAATGATTTATTTCCCTGTGGTTGGTATTTATCTAATTGTAGAGTTTGCAAAGCCCTGCTTTTAGATCAGTGGAGTGGGTCCAAGTCCCATTGAATCCCTAACGTGCCCTTTTAGCTCCCCCTTGAGGCCGTTTTGGCCTTATTTTTTCTTTTTATTAAAAAAAGAGCTAATTAACAGTCATTTAAGGAATTGACTAATTTACAATAATTTATACATTTTCCTTAGTAACTGCTCTATTGTACACTGTGCATAATACATTTCTGTTTAAAAATATTGCTATGATTGGACAGTTTCAATTCAAATCTATCATTCATTATTTTGATCTGAATTTAAATAAATCCTCTGTGATTGCCACATGTATAAAACACTTTGATTGAATTACAAAAACAAAATTTTCCACTTTTTTTTTAATCTGTAACATACTTAACTGACCAAGGAAGTGGCATGTGTGTGCCCAAGTTTGAGTAATGTGTGGTTTCTACACACCACAAAGAGGCAGTCAATTTCACACGTATGGAAATAGCAAATGCGAATTATGTGCCTGTTAACTAAATGTGAGGGGCTGTGAGGCTAGTGGATGGATTTAAATTCTGTCAGATGGAAACTGTGGACTTTGTAAAGCTGCATTGGAAGAAAGCCTAGAGGAAGCTTCATAAGAGTTTTGGAATCCTTCTTCCTGGGAGGTGGACAGACATTCACAGTTATGATTGAAAACCCAGGTAATTTAGAGCACTGGGAACCCAGGCTGGAGCTGTAGCCTGTGACAACAGGAATCTAGGCTCAAAATTTTACCTGACCTGGGTCCATGTTCCCTGCTAGTTGCCCAACCGTGGAAACTGTAAAATGAGGCAGATCATTCCTGTCTCAGAGGATGAGAGGACTAAGTGAGACCATGGATGTCAAGTACTGAACATACTGCTAGCACAAGATGAGTGCTCTGTCTGCAATGACGGTGGTGATTATATGGAGGAAGAGAGGGCATCAGCACTGAGCTCTAGGAAAGCCTTTCTAAAATTGGAAGCAAATATTGGACTTTGAGGGCTTCTTGTGATACTGAGGATTGATGAGGTCCACGGGAATTAACCGTGAAGGTGGAGGAGGTACAGATAAAGATTAGAGGGCGGAGGAGAAGGAGAAGAGTAGGAAGTGAAGGAGGTGATGGAAGGAGAAAGGTGAAAAAAGAAGAGATAAAGAAAAAGGAAGAAGGATGAGAAAGAAACAGTCTCCATCCTTGGTTGGGGAGCAGAGGTTGGGAGGATGAGTAGGAACAAGCAGAGCTCTATTGTTGAACTAGAGGCTTCCAGGAGCAGCGGTGCCTGACTCTGGTGGAAGAACCGAGTAGAAGATCCGGCCAGGCAGGGGGTTCCTAGGGAGGGTTCCAGCCTCCCCCACCCGATAGCTAGTGACCTGAGACCAGTACCCTTAGCTCTTCCCCACAGCAAAGCAAAGCTATACCTACCTCCAGGGCTTGCTGAGGGGATTAAATGAATGAAGCGTTTCCCATGGAGCTGGGTGCAGAGTAATTACCAAGAAATGCAAGTCATTGCTACTGAACGTGTTTTAAAGTTTTTTGCTTATGTTCCTGTACCATAAAACGGCTAATATCAGAAAAGAGAGCACCTAGAGATTTCTTGGTCTGTACTTACAGAGGGTGGGACGGGCAATAAAGCTTATTTTGATACAGGACAGTTAAATAGAATTGAGAAGCTGAGTGGGGCATGAGAGGAGATCGGGAGACCATCCTAAGAAAGATGGGAGACATGGACTGTAGAATTATCAAGGTCACTTTGAGAAGACAGTGGAATGGCTGATCAAACATGTTCTGCAGTGACCACCATGTTGGACTGGACTACAGTAAATGATTAAAGGTGACCCCAGATGCCACCATTTCAAAGTCCCTACTGATGACTGGTCTGATCATTTTTGCAGTTTTTAAGTCAAAAAGTCCTTTTGACCCCCACATCTTCTTCTCCGTTAGCCATCTGTCTCCTCTCCCTCTCTTCTCCTCCAGCGATGCCTTACTTCAGTGCAGCATTCATCCTTTGGCTGTAGTTTTTAAGTTCATTTTGCTTTCTTCCCACTAGCCACCGTGTGACCCCAGAGCCTGGCCCCAAACCTGGCGGCCCTGTCTGGTGGTGGTAGAAGGGTGCCCGTGTCCTCACCTCCCTTCTCCACCCCGGCTGTGGTTATTCCGCTCTTCCTCATACTCTACCTTAGCACCATGTTTTCCACTCAGGAAACCATAATGGTTCCCACTTAATGTCATGTTGTGTCCACATTAACTCCTCATTGTCTCTCAAAACCCTCCTGCACGGCCCACCTGCCTCTCAGCCTCCTTTGGATTCTCCCCCTCCAAGCTCCAGTGAGCAGCAGACCCTCCCCACCCCCTCGCTGTCCACCTCTGCACAGGGTGGTTCTCGGGCTGGGAATGGCCCCCTTGGTCAGGCCCTCCTCGACCAGGACCCGGCTCCAGGAGGCCTTCCCCCTCCCGCAGTGGGCACCCTGTTCTGAGATGAGTTCTCCTGGCCTCACTCCTGGTTCCGCCATGCGTCATCTCCTCCTCTGCCTGCCCCTGTTCCTCTCCTCACCCTACTGGGGGGCCAAGAGGTCCAGCAGTGGACCGCCACTGGGTGCCTCCAGTGCTGGCCTATGGTGGGTCCATAAATAGTGGATAAAGGTATGGATGTCAGATTCAAAGAGACTCAAATTGACACTGAAAGAGAATCCGTGAGGATCGTTGAATCCAGGAGCCACCAGGGCTGAGAGTGGAGTCCTGGATTCTGCAGGCTTGGGAACCAACTTGCAGCCCCCGAGAGAACTGGGGGGAAAGGCCAGTCGGTGACTTCAGGGAATGGGGGCTTCATGAAAAACCCGAGTAGATTCCATCTAAAATGTCATCATTTCAGATTCTGCTCTCCCAGAAAGCTGATTCCATTCTATTAAAAAATAAACGACATCTCAGCTACTTGAATCTGGTTGTCTGCGTATTCCCACTGTGACCCATACTGAGGGTTCACCTATGTTCAGTGGTGTCCCTCCTCCTTCCTCTGTCTTCTTGTAGCGCCCTCTGGAGGTGTGGGGGGGTGTCCAAAACACCGTACAAACCAAACATCCCTGTAGTTGCTTGGAAACAGTATGGCAAAATGAAGATGGTGTATGGAAAAAGAACTTCACAGCCTGGTGAGCCCTGAGTAGGGTGTCCTGGGTCACCAGATGTGCCACACAGGCTTTCTTCTTACCTACAGCCCAAGAGTGCAGACTGGATACTTCTCTTGCTTCTTGGAGAGTTTTGGCTTTCAAGCTTTCCTGGTTGCAGTGTGCAGCCTGTGCCACTGCACTGTGGCGTTTCTCTCTGCTACCTCCTTTTTTATCATCACTTTCCAAAAATTGTTGAGTTTTTAGGGATTCTCATTAGAGAAATAAGCTTAATCATTTCATCTCCAATTATATTTCCATCAAGTTTTAGCATATAGTGAAGCTTTTAATATTTTTGTTTCCTTGACAAGTGATAGTCTTTGTATCTCAAAAATTATGTTTGTCTTAGAAAATTTTAAATAAACAGAAATACAAAGGGAAGAAAACGAAAACCTCACCTATAATCTTGCAAATGCTATTAACATTTTGGAATTTCAATCTCCTTTAGCAAATCTGTCTTTTTAATACATATTAGATTCTTTTTTTTTAACAGTGAGATTTTATACAATTTTTTTATCCTCCTTTTTTTCCTTTCTTCTTTTTTCTTTTTCTCCTCCTTCTCCTTCTTTTCGATACTGGGGACTGAACCCAGGGATGATCTGCCACTGAGCCATATCCCCAGCCCTTTTTAGTTTTTATTTTGAGACAGGGGCCTGACTTAGGTGGCCTCCTGTCTCAGCCTCCTGAATTGCTGGGATTATAGGCCTGCACCTGTGTCTAAGTCATATCTTCTTTTTTTACTTAAAATGTGTCTC